CATGCACGCATTCGAATACGCTGAGTGTACACTCTAGTACACCCTGTGTACTTGCTTATCACATTTTCTCTAACAAGGACCAAAATGTTCAAGTACTCAAAAGATAAAGGATTATAAGATATACCTAAACTTGGGATGTTACAGTTAAGCTCCATTGCTTAAGCATGTATGATTTGAGAGAAGAAAGTGAGTTATATAAAATAAAAGAGAGAGAAAGTTGCAAAAAAGTTGTAAGAATTTTGGAGCAATCAAAGTATGAAGATCAAAAAATCAAAATTCTAAAGAAATCCAAAAAGTTGAAGATGCCAAAAAAAAGGTGATGAATTCGAAGAAATCAAAGGGCAAATATCAAACAAGAGATGAATTTAGAAGAGCCCCATTGTGGTATCAAAGTTGTAATTCTTTCTAGATCATATGTATGCTTGGGTAGCTTAACCAAAAATACCTTGAGGTTAAGAAAGATTTCTAAGGATGGATCTGGAGGGTTGCAAAAATCAGTGTCGTATAAACTAAGGGGTGAAGGTTAATAAGGATTGTGAGTATTTAGGTTAGGAGGTTTTGAGGAACCTTAGACACACATATATGCATTGAGGTCTTGGTATAATGGCTGAGTTCAAAATAGATTGTCTTATGTGATATTGGTGATGAAAGTTTAACTTAAAAATTTTAATTTTGCTTCAGGGCAAGCAAAAGATAAGTGTGGGGTATTTTGATACTATCATATTTATACACATTTTTAGCCAATATTTTAATACATTTTAAGTAATATTTTGGTTAATTGCAGAGATATGTGATACTTATTGAATTAATTTACATTTTGTAGCCAATAAGGACACTCTTGAGGAATAAGGACCATAAGTGACAAGCATTGGAACTTTGGAGGATTGGAGCTTAAAAGAAGAAGATTTCAGCTGAAAACCCAAACTCACGATGTGAGGAGGGAACTTCTAGAATACTAGTATGTGGAGGCTGAATCTTATACGATACATATAAAAACCATGCTCATGACGTCAGATCAGTCCCTCATTAATCCAATAAGGTTGCATAATTCGCAGCCTTGTCATTTGTTAGTTTTTTCTTGTCACCTTTAAAAATCCCCCACATACTCTTGTTTGACAAGAAATTCTTCATAACATAACTCCAAGATGCATAGTTCTTGCCATCAAGTTGGGTACTAATAAACTGAAGATAATCATCTTTGGGGGCCGTATTTCCAATAACAGTTAAACAAAAATAACAAAAACAAACAGCAGCTACGAATAACAACAACAACAATCAAGATCTCAAAATCAACAAAATCGAACAAATCATACCAAGCAAAATACAGAAACAAAGCATGAAATCGATCCGCACAATGTTGTGCATGCTACAACTCATCCCTAAAAAACAAAAATACAAATGATTAACCGAGCTTTGATTTCATGTGAACTAACAAGTAAAATATATAGAACGGCTAGGGTTTTGTATTATTATCAAATGAAAAGTACAATTACAATGAAATAGAAATGCATAATTTATAGACTATTTGATTAGAGTTTTCTCGCAAATAGACCAACATAATGTGATAATACCCAATACAAAATAAAACCCAAATTTTTATTAGGCTAACACACGAAAGGTATGCATCGTCCATATTTCCATGACTTCATATACACCTTGAGCATTAGTCCACCTCTCTCTCAAATAGGGTTAGCTATTAGGCAATGGATATACATTCAAATATTGTATTTATCATATAGAATATTATCCTATAGTTATCAGGATTCCCATTGTACTGTTTTTATATAAATTGATTCATGAATGAGAAAGAGGCATTGATTCATTCCAACTAACATTGATACATTCATCTTTAATATGATTGTTGTACCCTTAAGACATACCATATATGGGTAATTTCCAGCTTGGGACTATATTTAGTAGGCCTCAATCTTGTATTTTCTTGTTGTAAATGATTTGTATCATATTCCGTTTATTAATTCAATTATAACATTTTCATTTGTTCATATTGTTGTTGTAATTCTAATTGTTTACTTTAGTTATAAGGCTATGGGAAATCGTCACCACCAACTCACCACAAAGCGTTGACACCTCTACGTTACGTTAGCTTCACCACCAACCCACTAGACATTGGAAATGGTTACCACTCCACAATTTTCTTTTATTTATTTTTACTTTTTTATGATTAAATTAAATTAAAACATAATAAAATATTTTACATTAATTGAAACCACATTACATTGATTAAAAAACATAGAAAATTAAAGCTAAAAAAAATTAAAGCTAAATTACTATAAAAAAACATTATAAAAAACATAAAAAAAACCATAGAAAATTAAACCTAAATTACTAAAAAAACATAGAAAATTAAACATAAATTACTAAAAAATCATAGAAAAGTAAACATAAATTACTAAAAAAACATAAAAAACCATAGAAAGTTAAACCTGAATTACTAAAAAAAACATAGAATCTAGTTACGGTATTTGTCGATAACTTCTTGTTGAAATTTTAAAAATGCTCTTAAATTTTCTAGGTCAAGATTTGATTGCGGCACCGTATTTAAAATTTGAAAATCGGTGAGTGCTATTTTTCTTAGACGAACTTCCTCCGTTGATTCAAATTTTCTTTCTAAAATACTTGGATTTTTGTCTATTTTTTCCTCTAGTACATTATCGTTGGTTGATTTTTCCGCTTGAAGAAGTCCTCTTTCTCGTTTTGTCCCGTCTCGGTAATCGACAAAGTTGGACGTCCGGTGGACCCTCCCCTTCGGTGGCGTCAAACTCATCATTAAGGTCGAGGCTAACACCAATGTGCGACTCGGGCGTTCTTGCCCTTTTTTTGGAGCCGGTGGTAGATCCTGAATACGCCGTATCTGGATAAATGACCAATTTTGGACCCTTACGACAAACTTTCCACGTTGTTTGGTTGGCGAATGGTTTACAATTGTTGGTAATTTTGTATTGGTACAACACGGTTAATAAAATATTGAAATCGTTACTACCACTTCTATGCACATTTTTAAAATACGTCGTTAAATTTGGTGCAAGCCGTTCGAAGGTCACGCTATTTTGCATTGAACAATTCGTATGTCCACTTCGTTTGCCTTCCTAATAAAGCGTGGAAGTGGTCTAAAACACGATTCCAAAAACTTTAACCCGTTTGCGCCTTGCCGACATCCCCGTCTTGTGAAATGAAAATCCAAGTTTTTGCTAAAGTTTCCTTCTCCTCTTCGGTCCATTGCGTACTTTTCTTCTTACTTGGATCTTTTGATTTTTTGTGCCGTGTACGGCTTGATTTTGTTTCTTCAACCCGTTCGTCGCATTCGTCATTGTCGAGGTTTATAGGTTGAGATTGAGATAATTGAACTTGAGATGATTGTGAAGGTTGTTGACGTTGAAAAGTTAGGGTTGAAATTGCGGAGAAAATTGTTGAAAGACTTGAAATTGGGGTTGATTGAATTGTGATGGTTGTTGTTGTTGTTGATAGTAGTGTGGGTGGTATGAAAGATTGGTGAATAGAGGCTGTTGTCGGATTGGATATGTTATCAGCTACGATTTGCTAATGGATCATTTGAAGTGTTTGGGATGGGAAGGATATTTTGATTTGGATCCATAAAAATATATGATGAAAGAGTGTTTTTTGTTAAATATATGTGTTTGTGTTGAAAGAATATATATATATATATATATATATATATATATATATATATATATATATATATATATATATATATATATCCGGTAAGAAATTTTTTTTGATAGGAAGCTAAGAAAATTTTTTTCGACTTATTTTTTGGCGAAAAAAACAAATGAATCACTAAATGAATCAATAATAACATGATTCACCAAAAAAATCCCGAAAAAACATTTCGATGATTCATTTTTATGATGATTTTGTTGATATCCACTAAAATTATCATAAAAATGAACTTTTTTCTTACCTAAAAATGAATCATGAAGGTGTTTTTTTTGAAATTTTTTCTTGTGGATCATGTTACTTTTGAATCATCTAATGATTCATTTCACTTTTTGCTAAGAAAATATGCATTTAAAAAAAATTGTTACATTCCTACCAAAAATTTCTTTCTTATTTGATCTTGAATATATATATATATATATATATATATATATATATATATATATATATATATATATATATATATATATATATATATATATATATATATATATGATTGGGCATCTCATTTTGACTGTTGGGGGAGGGGCGCTGGAACATTTCGACCATTTAAGATTATATAAAAAAATCATTCAATTATTAATAAATTTCTCTCTCTCTCTCTCTCTCTCTCTCTATATATATATATATATATATATATATATATATATATATATATATATATCTATATATATATATATATATATATATATATATATATATATATAGAGAGAGAGAGAGAGAGAGAGAAAAATTTATTAATAATTGAATGATTTTTTTTATATAATCTTAAATGGTCGAAATGTTCCAACGCCCCTCCCCCAACAGTCAAAATGAGATGCCCAATCAAATCACTTGTCTTCATCCGTCTTCACGCTCACAAGTCACGCCACAACAAGAGCACCAGCCCGAGGGCGGTGTTTACGCGTCTTGGGGGGCTCCACGTCAGCCTCTCACACGTCTTCTTGGTACCACTTCGGGTAGCCTAACACTTGGCAAGTAGTGCTATGATACCATCGAGGCACAAAGCAACATATTTCCACAAACCAATCCGTATATATTGGGCAAGTATAAATTCATTCAATGTGAAGTTCCATTTTGTAAGAGTTGAAATGCTCTTTTTTTGGTAGTTCACGATTCAATGTGAAGTTCTAGTAGAAAATGCCTTTGCACTATAAATTCATTCAGAGTTGTAATATTAAATTATTCAAAGTATAAAACTTTGGTTTTATATATGTCATTTATTCGGGGACAAAAATTCACACAACATTACAAAAAGTGGAAATATTAAAAACGTGCCGCAAAGGGTACGTACATGCACTTGTTTAGAACCCCGCTGGCTTAGATGCAATGAAACTAATACACTGGACTTGACGGACATTATCAAAGCCAATAATACGAATAAAGGCATTTGGGTACTCCTTCTTGCATTCTTCAAGCTCCTTCAGCACCTGAGCCGAATCAGTGCACCCAAACATTGGCAGCTTCCACATTGTCCAGTATCTTCCATCATAGTACCCGGGCGACCTGTGGTTCTCACGGTAGACAAACCCATGTTCCAGTTCGAATTCCAAACAAGGAACCCATTTGCTACGAAGAAGATAGTCAACTTCCTTAGCCAATGAGGCCTCAGACAATGGTGGCAGGTATGAAAGAGTCTCGTACTTCTTCAACCCGAGTGGTGGCCACACCTTCATGCACTGCACCCTGCCGCCGTTGGTGGGGAGGGAGGAGAAGCCAGTTTTGGCCTGTTTGGTTGCCGGAAAAGCTGTGGTAGACTTGAGACCGGTGAACGGAGCCACCATGGTGGCTTGAGCTGGGACTGCTCTGCTCATGGTGGCGGTGGTGGATGAGGAGAGTGAAGCCATATTTTACTATTTTAATTGGTGTTTGGAACTGATTAAAATGAGTTGGTTTTGTGCGATCGTTTGTAGGTATATATAGAGGTGAGAGTAGGATGGTGATTTCCATCTAAGGGACGAAATTCAATCCATCGGATAAGTGGTGGTGCAATTTTGAACGGTGGATGATGAGGGTTCATGATAATACATGCATATTCCCACACAGGATCGAAACATTTGGATAGATGACGATAAACCAAATTTTGATGGAATGCCATGCGAGTTTGTGACGATCGAAGGCTCATGACTCATCCCATCATTTTCTTTTTGTTTTTATTTTCTTTTGGGGATCCTATTTTTAATAGCATTCATGTCTTTGGTTGTATGATAGAAAGAATTTCAGTCTATTCTTAAAAATCATGTGTTAGAAAATGGTAAGCCACAAATAATCCTTGTTATCATCCGATGCTAAAAAGAACTGGTTAATTTAGTGGTTCTTCGGTTTTTCCATTATCTCAATCTTATTTCTAGTTAACTATTGGATGGAATTGAAGGCTTATTTATTCAATGGGTATTCTATATTTCCATATTTTAATTATCCTACAAAATCATAAGACATAGAGCGTGTCACCGCGTCACAAATTTATTCATGTAAAAAAATTTAATTTATGCTTTATCATTTTATGCAAAATTGTTTAATCGTTTTATCAATTTATACAAACTACATTAGAAATGCAATTACATCGATGTTAATATATATGATTGCATATTTCATCTGAACTAAGTAGTCATTATGTTGCATGAATTCGAGGACTATTGGATCTCTTCATAATTCATATAATAATTACAAATTTTTGGATAAAAAATATCATTAAAACACAAACACACGTAAGTTCTTTCTTTTCATAATCGTATTTAGTTTGTGTTAAAGGGAAATTAATAAAATCAAGAGCTTTTATTGACTTATATATGTTATAAAATATTGGTCATGTGATTATGTCGTTACATGCCCGTAGGTGTCGCAGTCATTTATGTCTAGAAAACTCGATTGCATTATCGGGAGGGAAACCAACAAGATAAACAATGGGAGGTAAAGCTTCGTCCTTACACATGGAACCTACAAAGGTCTTTTCATTTGAGCTCTTTTCCATGATAACTAATAACCATTACTTGTAAACATATTGCATTATTTTTTTCAAATGTTTTTTTTTCATAATTGATTTTAAATAGCCGTATTTTATTAATTTTGAATATGATTACAACTACAAATTCATATAGTATATATGCAGTGAGGAATAGACCTACAAATACACATACTATAGTTACCAAAAAGTGAATCATGAACTACGAGATGTCAAAATAAAAAATAAAAATCAACTTTTATGAAACTGGAAATTTGGTTTGTAACTAAGTTACCAAAACCAAAAGGTTTCTAACCAATCGGTATCAGGTATTATCCTTTTTCCTTAAGATTGAAGGTTCAAGGCTCATACTGAACATAAGTGAGGTTAACGAATAGATTAGTTTTGTCATTGAAAAAAAAAAAGACTAAATTACCCAAAGTCCGAATATGTACGGCTTGATTAGTGAAATTATATTGCCTAGCTCTCATTGCAAGTGTTACGACCAAGGTAAACATTCAAGAACTATAACAATAACATAAACAAATGAAAATATTATTATTATTATTGCACTAATAAAACAAATAAATTACTACACGAAAAATACAAGATTGAGGCCTGCTGAAGATGGTCCCAAAACACCAATTGTTCCGCTTCCCAAGCCCAATGACCACAAGTAGGGATGAGTAAATCTGAACTAAGAAACCGACTCATACATAAAACCAACCCATATAATATATTTATGAGTTGAACCTAAGAAGCCAAAAAACCGTTAAAACTGACTTCAGAACCCGAGAAACCGAACTGACCAGAAACCGATCCTATTGAGTTTTGAAAACCAGAAACCGACTATTTACGGTCTGGGTTCGGTTTAGATCTAAAACCGACTTAAACCGACCCATACACGATCCTAACCACAAGTCAAGCCTACTAAAATTCATGCCGGATCCATTTAGGCAAACATTAAGTGAGGAGGCTTATAAGGACATGAAATTTTCATTTTAGTTTTTATGTGAGAACAGCCTCACTTAATAAACTTTCAAGTTCCAACACTAGAACTTGTTTTTCTTACTGAATAATGACTCGACATGTCTAAAATATGTTGCACAATACTAGAACTATGATAGGAAGAACCTGTTTTAATAAAATAAAATAGTACTGACCGGTTTGAGTTTTGGCATTTTTACCTCTTACTCGAGCCCATAAGATTGGGGGTTAAATACGTCAATGTGCACCCGGTTTTTCAATAAATTGAGCCCACAAAATTTAATAATTGTTAGGCCAAATTCTTAAAAACCCAAAAATAACCCTTTTAAACCACTAAAGCCTTAATCCCATTTTCTATTGAAATTTGACACAATTAATCTGGTCGAGATACTTCTTTAAACATTTATATATTTATTTTAGGGAAATTCAGTAATTTAACCTCTATAAACGATACTTTTGACAAAAATTATAATAATAATAAAAGAAAATTTGTAAAATAACCATATTTTCCGGAACACATTGTTCCCTAGAGGTATCCAAAATGTCAGAGTACGATTCTGGACCATGGTTCTGGAATACATTTGACTTTTTTTCTTTTTTGCGTGTAAATTTTGCTTTCATAGAATGTAATACATGGTTTTGTAATACATGGTTCCACATTATAATGTATAAGTTTTGCTTTCATAAAAATAAAATGTATAATTTTTGGTTTTATAAAATATAAAATGCATTTAAAATGAACAAATAACTAATAAATGCATAAACTAAATAAAGGATGTGTCTATAGGTCATATTACAAATACGATGTTCAAATTATCTTTGTCCTTGTACCCCAAAATATTTCTGCTAATCATTTTCTATAACCCATAGCCCATACACCAGTGGTTTTAACTTCTATAGAAATCGTTTTCCCAGTGATCAACACCTACAGGAACCAATACAAAAACACCCTACATTCCCCTCTACTCCCAATCTGTTGTGGTAAGTCTAGGGTCTTTTCAAGGATCATCTTGAAGCTCTCAAGTGGGATTGAATCAGTTGATTTGATACCTTAGTAGTTGACTTCCACTAGTAGTTTGTGGATGCGGGCTCTCATATCTATAAATCAATCCTTATTTTCCAAACAGTGGCCGCCCTTCCAATGACTATCGTATATAGTCATTTGGAATGTCTTTAAATCCAAAACACTCAAAAACTAATGCGTATGTGGAATATTGATTCGGATGTAAAGCTACAAAAAAAATTAGAAAAAATTAATTAGCATATAAATACTCAGGTAGTTTAATCCAAACTAAATTATACCATATTACACTGTGCCCAAGCTGGGTAAAGGGATCTGCCAATCATGTCACTCTAATCAAATATATCAGCGTTGAAAGCTGACGACACGACCGTCTACCGAGTATGATCCGCTCTACGCTCTAGCAGCAATGAGATCCACATCATGATGTGCTGCCAATTAATTTTTTTGCGGTAAAGTAAGTATTGTTATTAGAAGCGTATTATGTAATAAACAAATAATTATATTACTTATATCACATGACAACAATCATGACTATCCGCATATAATCGTGTCCAAACAACAGTCAACCATCCCATTCTTTATATACACTATGTATGGTAGGATTTAAAAGATTGTCCAACAATGCTGGTTGTTATCGTGTAACACCTTTCCTCTTCATTTGTATCCACGGTGAGAGGCGTTGGCGGTGGTGTTTTGTATTCATCCCGTGGAATCTATTTTTCATCTGATGAGTATTCAGCGGTTGTTCAAGGCCGTCATTCAGCGTCTTTTCGGGGGTGCTTAAGACATAATCATGCTCCCATAACTCATTGTCATTGTAGTATCCATGTACGGTTCAATAATGTATACTTGTAAACAATGCAAAAACATAAAGACCATGAATGATGAAATTATTAAAAATGTACCTCCATCCCCTTCGAGGTACCAAAATCGTCTCCAGGAGTCTTACTGATAAGTTTTAGAACCATGGCTAAAGTAGCCTCATGCTTTGTTGAACGCTCATCCTGAGACCGCAACGACTCGAGACATTCTCGGACCTCATTTTTCAATTGACGAACTCGTTCTGCAAGTCACTAATAATTCAGTCTTTGTCATTTAATGGATCCGCGGTCGGCGGTGGTGGTGGTAGTGGGTGAGATGGATCATCTATCTGTACCTTCTTTTCTCAAGGCTCATGTAACGCCCACAGATCCGGGCTAGTCAATTTAGAGGCAATAGGGGTCAAAAATAACTTTTCGACAAAAGATTATTTAGAATGAATAGTCTTATCCAAGTTTTAGAATATGTCACAAGGTTTCCGTACATATAAAGAACGCCGAAATCCGAGTTATAACGAAGAAGTTATGGCCCGCCGAAGTTTTACGGCAAAACCGGCACGGCACCGAAAGACGTAAATAGTGAATTTACGATAGAAGACATTTTAGCCTTAGAAATCTAAACAAAAGTCGTAGAATATGTTAAACTAAGAGCGTCGATAAAAATAACACCCAAATCTGACTTCGTATGAGGAAGTTATGATTTTTCTAAGATTCGGCTTAGCAGTGTACAGCCCGAAACTCGAATTTTAGTTCGAGCGGTTTTTGGCTTACGTGAAATAAATGAGAGTTGAAGATCTCATTAATAGGAACTCAACGGTAAAAAGACAGACGAAAACGGAGTCCGTATGAAGGAGTTACGAATTCTTCGCGGTCATTTAACAGTCTAAACGCCTCGTACTGTTAAATTTAAGATCGGTCGAGAATTAGCCGACGGAGTCAAAATGAAAGTTGTAGATATTATTTTTACCTACGCGTGGATATAAAGAACGTCAAAAACGGAGGTCGTATGTGAAAGTTACGGATTTTAGAAGTCGGAAGTGTGTTGTGCGAAAATGGGTGATGTGGCACAATCTTGGC